GAGGTCAGTGGTTCGAATCCCGTACAGGCCTAATTTTTTTCAGGTCTGATTTTCGCTATTGCATAAATAGCGCTATCTACTGCGAAGGATCGTGCATCATACGTATTTAATACTGCAGTTCAAAATATATGAACTTCATATATATCCATTGTATCTTAGATCAGTGGGTTTCACAAAGCAATCATAATGTCAATTATAAGGAGGGGAAATCTTAAATAAAAAAACGATATTTTAGAATCTTATTTGCTTCAAAAAGTGATATATTTTCATTAGTTCGCCAAGTGATTACTGCCTGAGTATTTTTATTTCTAAACAAAATTTATCTCAAGGCGTTGGAATGTAACAATCGGCTTATTCTCTACCTAACATCTATCACTTTCATTAAAAAAAATTTCCTCCATCTTTAATTTCGTCGACATTTCTATGCCACCACGGCTAAGACTGCGAACAGCACGATTTTAAAGTTAGAAATATTATTTACGCAAAGCCTGCGCAAATAAAGATAAGACAATTTAAGATGTTTCCAACTTCGTTCTCAGGGTTTCTCGCATCTACTCGCCCTCTGGAGCGAGATAGTGGCGGGAAGATGAGAAACCCTGGGAACGAGGTTGAGATGTTTCGTAATCACGGTAAAATCTACCCAGACCGTGAGACGAGATCTACACCTGTGCAGTTTTCTTCCAGTTATCCCGCCAAAGGGAATACCAAAAGCAATCTTAACGCTTACTAGTAAAGCTTTTCATACCCTTGATACCAATCCTACATCATTTAATTACATGCTTATACCATTATGATGAAAGGGATGTTTGAGCAATGTCAGAAATCTTTCGAAATTGTTTTCTTTTCGTCCTTTAAAAATATCGAAGGTTCCAATCGATGTCATCTCAGTTAGTGTTAATCTCTGCAGCCACTTGGGCAAGGGTAGTGCCGTTTATATTTAGTCTAAAGTTGCATCTATCTCTGCTGTATGCTAAGAGAGAACAAGGTTGAATCTCAGGCAAATTGAATCTGTATTTCTGTGGGAAGGAATTAATCGTGATCAAGGTGAAGAAATGTGCGCAAGGTTTTCCGTTTAATTTTCTTTAATCGGCGAGAGTTGTTTCAGTATCAATTAATCAGCAAGGCATGAAATTGAATAAATAACAACTTGTCAACAAATTGACAGTGGTCTAACTTGGTCTGTATTCTTATCGAAAACGAAACTTGTCCTTCCAGTGGTCAAAATGTTGTGGACTCACGAGGGGCAGCCACGTCGAATAAAACGATTTTTTCACTGCGTGACACGTTGCGTGACAGGTTGACGCGAGCAGCGATGTCACGTCTGCAATCTTACCGACAACTGCAAATTGGCCAATCAGATTGCGACACTACTCCCAATTGTGGTAAATAATTGATTGTTACTCTACGTAGGTATGGGTGTACTTTGAAACTTGGGAGCAATAAGCTTTTTATCAACCAAGAGGGCTAACCCGTTGCCTTATCGGGATAAAATAAATGATAGACAACGCAAAACTGAAACGTGAGGTATTACATAGGAAACAGAAAAGCTCAAGGGTGTAAACGCGGACAAAATCTGTTAAGCCAACTAAGCCCCTTAAATTATGGAAAATGATCATAAGCGTGCAACAGCTATGTTAATCAGAGGCGCTAAGTGTAAATTACCACGAAATTTTTATCTTTAGTGTGAGGTCTAAGGCAATGTTTGAGGGGTAAGTCAAGTTCGCTGATAAACGTGTGAAAATGGTTTGCAACAACAGAAGGAAACTCAGCTGACCAAACTCTACCTCTTAATAAGTCGAAATAAATTGATATGTGCAGTTTTGATTATCAAGGTCCAGTCTGGAAGAACTTTCTACTTACCTTTAAAACATACACTATTGGATTTCTTCTGGAATTTCGTGGCCTTACTCTGGCCTTCCTGTGTTACGTTTCTGGAATTTGAGTTCAAGGGTAAGGCGGAGACTACGATCCCATTGTTATCACGTACGCTGTTTACTCAAAGGAGTTCTAATCCAGCACTGCAAGTACATGTAGTAGTTCTGTGCAAATCATCATTTGAGCGCTCAGAAAATCGATATATCGCGCCGTTTACATCGAAAGTGGGACAAAACAGAAACTAACTATGTTTACCAGGACAGGTGAGACATTTGCATGGATGCTACGTGTATCTTTAGGCTGCTGTTCCCTCTTTTTTTTGTTACAATATGTACATATATATATTTTTCATGTACTTTCGATGAAAAACCTATCCGACGCATAATCAGGGTCTGCGGTTGCAATATTGCACACAGCACACAGGCGTTTGCCGTGTCGAAGTTGTCTTTGATCGTGGCTATCCTCTTAAAAGACAATTTGGTTTCATCAATTGAGTTGATAAATTGTATAGAGGTTTTGCACAGCAGCCATGTTGGATGGCAAGAACAATAGATTATTTTACCCATGGGAGAAAATTTTCTTTTTGTGCAAAATATTTTCATTGTTCTTGCCATCCAACATGGCTGCTGTGCAAAACCTGTATTGGCGAGCATTACGCATTCGTTTCGAGCGCACGCCCGTTGTCAGAGGGAAGTTTTTTTTGCCAAAGAACGGATAGCGACATGATAATCTGGTATTTGTGGACGATCCTCGCAGTAAAGCACTATTTAAGCAATAGTGAAAATCAGGCCTGAAAAAATTCAGACCTGTACGGGATTCGAACCACTGACCTCTGCGATGCTAATGTAGCGCTCTACCAATTGAGCTAACAAGCCAACTGGGAGCAGGTAATCAAATTAGTCCGACATTTGATTTATCATCTTACGGGTTTATATCGGGTTTGTTAGCTCGATTATATCGAGCTTGTTAGCCCGTTTATATCGATTTCTTTGTCGTATACAAACATTTAAGGGTCCAATCAAATGTGTTATCTTAATCAGTCGTGGTTTTATCACTTGCCTCTGCTTGGACAAATCCATCATAAAGAGAATGTGGAAAGGTGTGCAAGAGTTTTCGTTTATTCAATTTTAGCGGCTTTTAGCAGTACTGACTATACTAAGTAGGCCGGAGACAAGGGGGGATTTAGCTGGACGTGTGGGTACCAAAAAACTTGGGAAAGATAAGCTCTACCATGCAGGCCATATGCCATGCACCTTTAGAATAAATCTTTGTGGGAACACCTCCGAAATGAAATTAAAAAAAAAAAAAAACTTACTGGATATTCCTTCCCTTATCATTATGCAACTCTCACAAAAACGTAGTTTTAACGCCTTTTTGTCATTATTGAACGCGGCTCGAAATTACACAGCTGGTGCAAATCAGACGACCTTTAAATTATAATTAATCTGATCTTAAAACGTTTTCCCTCGGGCAAAATTTCCGGTATTAGTGTAAGTGATATTTTAATTTTCATCCTGTGCGAAGCAGGAGCGTGCATGAGTAAGATGAGAATTCGCCGTTGAGCGAGTGAAAATGGTTTGCAGCAACAACTTGAAACTCAGCTGAACAAGCACATGCCCA